ATGCACACAACAACCTTTATATCATTTGAAAGAGCATACAACCTATGGACAATTTAGTGGAAATAGAATCCAATCAATTTTTAATGTAATTTAACAAATACTCTCGCTATATTTGGCTACTAGTATATACATGTAAGCACAGATATGTCAAAAATTGCATGGTTAAGTCACTTATTTTGACCAAAGCAACATATCTGTTGATTACCAGTGTGTAAATGTATGCGCTACTATAAGAGGAAATAATGTTTAATATCACTGTAGGCTGACTACATAATGATGTTCACTGCGACAAGATTTTTGTAAAAGCCACTGTGACTTGATGTCTACAGGAACCCGGTGATATTTTCGCTGTGCAATTTTTTTAAAGGAGTTTAAATTCCAGCAACGGAAAAATTAATGACATAAAAATTGTAGTATTCAACCTGAGTAAATTTTAGCTGAAATAAGTTACCGGTATCCATCACAGTTGCCCAGATGCCCACGGAGTTAAAGGAATTGAGTATTTTTTTTTTTAAAGATGTATGTATACTACTGAAGAATACTTTATTTCCGCTTGGAATTTAATTTCGCAGGAGGGACAATTCCGTGAAAATAAAATCCAGCAAATATACTTTTTTTCCTATATTTCACATTCAACTCATCAAAAATCAGTGAAAATAAATTCCATACAGAACGCCCAAAAAGCCTTTCCAGCGAAAATTAATTCGAGCGAAAATAAAGTATTCAACAGTATATTGTATTAAAACCATTTAATTTTTACTGATAGAAATTTTGTTGATTTCAGAATTTGATAGCATTCCTGAAGACAAAGTTCTGTGAAAGACTGACAATCTGTAATTGAGGACAGAAGAATTTTCACTATTAAAAATTTTCCTGATTTTTTTACTGACACTTGAAAATTTGTCCTATAACAAAGCAGTTCACAGTATACAAACTCCATAGAAATTGTCATCCCATAATGACTGTGTGAAATAATAGAACAATTTGAATAACAGGTTCTATTGTTATGATAATTAGCACATTATATCAGGGGAGATCCTGAGACCTTTACTATTTGAAGAGAAAAAAGTCAAACACAATTTTAATGTTTCTTGCTGAATCTCATAAATTTGGTGAATGTTGAGGTACATATTCTTACACACGTTAATTATTGTGCTGTTTTTAGTTTTCATGAAAAAACATTAAATTTACAGTTCCTTTTGTTAAAAAGGGAATATGTATTATTATTGTAGATATTAATATTTATTGCCTGGTATTAATACAAACATGTTATGCGTTTTTAAAAGGAGTGCAGATTTCCACAGTAATTTTTAAATTAAATTTGAGGAGGCCATGTTCTTTGTCATTTTTTTTTATAAATAATGCGCAATGCATGCTATTGTCTGCCTTGTACACAAAGGAAACTAAAATTAGAAAACTGATCATATAACAGACCATTCATTCATGATATTTTTACAATAGTGACTAGTCATTTTTTAGTAAATAATGATCTTGGAGTTTTGATATTTTTCAGTAATATTTTACTTTTATCAATTATTGTTGACCTCATCATTATTGACAATAATATTAATAAATAGTATCAAACTGTGTCTGTTTATTTTGTGAATTAATAACAATCATGTACTTATGTATCACAAAGTATAGTAAATTTATAAGAAAAATATTAGTAAATATACAAACCTCATTTATTCCTAGAGCTGCCATATCTTGCAACATGGCAGCATATTTGGCCGACGACGGGTCAAGTCCATTTGGTGTTACAGTTTGATATGGTTCCAAACTATTCTTGATCTGTGCTAGTGCTTTCTGGTGAGAACCAAACCTGTTCTGCTGCCTTCCACTTGCACCTTGTTGAGCTGCCATTTGGGAACTACCGCTATCTGAGGAAGCAGCTCGGTGTGTTTGATTTTTGCTGGAGAGGTCCTGGTTCTGTTCGGGTTGGATCTGCAAGTGTTTCAAGCTTTCCCTTATTTCTTGTAGCATTTGTTGGCTGTTGCCCACGTACGTACTGGGGACAGTTTTGGGGCGATTTTTTCTGTCTGTATTGTCTCGCTTCATATTACGAAAACAAAAAAAATAAATGCCCCTAACTTCTCTCTACTCAACTTACGCTCTCATGTACGGTCTTGCCCTCGTTTTTACAGAAGCCATTTCATATTATTTAAAACTTGGCGATTTTTTCGGTAACAAATATAAATTTTCTTTGTTGAATTGACAACGAGGCTAACTTTTTGGTCTTGCAATAATCACATTTACGCGAAAATTTCACAACTTGTATACATTCCGTAGAAATCGGTAAACAGTGCAGGAAGTAGCAACTGGCCCAGTAATCGCCCTGACCTTTAAGGAATTCAATATGGCGGTGATCGCAGGCAACAAATACTATTCAAATACCAACTTCGAGGAAAATTGTATAAACCTAGCCTAAAATACCCACCCATACACCCAGGCGGGTGTTATTAGTGTACGGGAGACTACTTTCTACGGTTCAAGATGTACCAGTTCTGAAGTAAACATGATAGTGTACGAGAGTCTGCCCACTGGCAGCCATTTTGTCAGTTGCGCGTACGGTGTATGTGTCGGCAGATCGGTTGCTAGTTGTCCCACGTACGTGAAATAAATAACTCAAACACAATAAACGCAAAGTCGAATTGGTTAACTATAGACTCATAGCGTTTACGCCATTCACAGATAACACTCTGTTCCCAGACAACAGCCACAGGCACCCGCTACAAACTCCGATTCTGACAGCCGATCTGTTCCGCACTATTAAAGCAGTACGCGTACGGAAGTGAACAAAAAACGGACGGGAAAGTACAGCTCCAATCGCAATATTTTCAAGTAAATAGGCACAGAAATTATAAATCCATGTATTCCAATATCTCTTCGTTCGGCGAATTGAATCGTGTGCGGACAGTGTTACATCATGTGTGTATAACCATCAAGTTTACGGAGCATAATCGCGTGCATTCGGCCAGACGGCCATCTTTATTGGGGATGCGAAAACATACCGGAATGCTGGTCGGGAAATTCCCCACTAAGGAGAATTGACATTCTGATCACAAAGTTTACCTTGGGTGGGAACTTCAGTAAATTATGATTACCTGTTACGCTGAAAATAAACACACGGTCTCAAATTAATACAGCGTTAAGCCGGAACCGGAAAATTCTCAAAGCGAAGTATTTCTAAAGTAACAACTTTAATTTTGGAACGCTTCCTGATTTAATTGCAACGCTTTTTGAGTGGGCCACTTCCTGTTTAAATGATATTTTTAACATTTTCGTTTCCTTTTTCGTGACTGCCTAACTATTTTTTTTTTCATCTTTTAAAACTACTCCCACGCATCTTTCGCATATCAAAGTAACAAAATCGGTATTATAATTAATCACATGATCCGTGAAGTCGTGACGCGAATGACAAACGGTTCAAATTCTCACTACAAAAGTGATCGCAGTAAAGTCAATGAATGTATAGAGCGAAATTTGGTTTTGAAAATGACACCGTTGATTGACAGTCATAGACAGGCTGCCGTGTTACATTGTTGACATACCAATCAAGTCAAGCGATTTCATTGACCACAATTCCCGTCGCTTAGTTTTAGTGTAAACAACTACACGTGTGGAGCTGGAAGCGACTCTGCTGCCCCAACACTTTGTTTTCAAGATACAAAAACTGTTACTGAAATTGATAAAAACAAAAGTGTCAAAAATGTAAAATTATGTTATTTAATTTACCGTTTCCACATGACCATGACTTCTAGCATCACCTCCCTGGCTTTCGCACATTAAAGGGCGGTGGTCGTCACGAAGCGCGTGTTCGAATTTCACGTAATGACATTTACACGCGTTGTCTACGTCGCTATGAGTCCTATCTCGAACAGGACGCGGCGCGACGACCCCTTTAAACTTAATAATACAATCTAATACATGTATATTAATAATCCGAGTAGTTTTAAACCAGTTTTCGTCAATTATGTTGTATACCAATTATATTGGGTATAGATGACTGAAAAATCACGAACCTTAACAACAGAACGTTACTATGCAATCTTTAAAACCAACAAAAACGAAACCAGCAAACTTTTCGTATCCGAGGACGAATTTTTAGCAACACACTAGTTTTATTTCAGATAACGTTTTCACAATTTTAGACGTACAGTTTACCACAAGTCATTGACTTTTTTTCTTTACCAAGTTTGAATTGTTTTGTTGGAGAAAAAAATGCACATTTTTGTTACACTGTGCGTATGAATTTATGTTGACACGTTTCCCACATGTGATGTTTTTTTACCACATATGCAACTGACCAAAATGTTTAGATATGATTCTATCTTTTACCACATAAACCAATGACAAATAGCCCAACAATTTCAAGTTCCGTGTTGTCACACTGTGCACAAAGTAGTTCGCGTCCACAACAATACAATATTTTTGAGTTTATACCGACTGTTACTAGTAGTTGTTTGAATTAGTCTTTAACTAGCTAACAATTAAGTAATTAAATTAAACAACACAAATAAACAAAACATAAAGAAGAACGTCATGATTTATAAGTAACATTTTCATGATCACTGAAACTGAAACTGAAAAAAAATATGTCATGAGATTTGTAAAACACGTCATTTGTTACCTGATATACTCTCAGGAATACGTCGATAGAGGGTCTATTATATTTTCTTTTCAGTTGCAGACTTTCCCCGAAATGGGCGTCATTAGGAATTTGTGACGTGTGTTCGTAGTTTTTAACACGAATGCATGTAAACGTGCACGTGTAGTGGGAAAGAATAAGTTTTTTAGACCGCGATTGACGGAGGAACTGAATTGTCGGGACAAACTGTTGCACAAAGTTTACGAAAATATTGAAAATCGAGATGGTGTCAATTTGAGGACAGTGAATTAACCGCTGCGCCCTCTGTCGACGAAACCCAGTACTTGTATTTAAAATTCAGAAACAAATCCATAGACATTAGCTAAATTTCGAAAAACTTAAAAAAAAGTATTTTTTGAGTTGAGCAAAAAATTCTGGAAATTAGTGCTTCCTGGCCCGAAACGTTTGAATCTATGAGCAATGATCCGAACTGACTGTGGTCGAAGTGCAATGTATTTTTTCTATGGTTGCAAAATACCCATATCGAACACGACTTGGTGTGGTACTTAATGGTGTGTATCCAATAATTATGGTTTCGTCAATAACCCGATAACATGACAGGCTACCAAAACATCATAGCAGCCGATGGGAACTAAAATTACGAGACAAATATGGTTTTTTTTGTCATCAGAGGGCGCTAGGACAGGTCATCTCCGGAAGACGCATGGAACATAAACATTTTATCATAATTGAACGCATTAAATAGCATAAATATATACATTTTTTATTATGTGCAGCGTTCCAGAAGATGTAGTCGTAATATCTAATACTCATATTTAATATTCCCATTTGTTGTAAAAGACATTCGCATTTCCACAACGTAATTAAAAAAATGCTTATAACGTTCTCCCAGCGAGGTATTTACAAAATACGAAGGATTGAATTTAAAACCTGTTTTACCGTATATTTGGTACAGTAACTGTGTTATTCTCCACTAATTCGACTTTTTTGCCATTTCGTAAAGGAAAAGTCAAGGGCAACAACATAAAAGCTCAACAAATGTATGAAAATGCAATTTACAGTTTTTTTTATCACTTTTCTTTTTCTAGATATTCAACATTTAATCAGTTCATGTAGTCAACCATCTTGATTCTTCAGCAAATGATTATGGGTAAGCATAACATCAAATCCACTGTTGTGAGAAATTGCGAAAATGATTTCATAAATAACTGTATTCCAGAACTCCATCCAGCTTAATTGAACTTCGACTGATCTATGAATTTTACTTTCCCTAGTGTTCATGCTTGGACTTCGCTCGTTTATCTGTATTTTCGGCAAGAGGGCGCTAGTGAATGACATCGTTTGGTCGGTGCATATTCAAATTTAGGCTGTTTACTATTTTGGGATGCATTATGAATAGTAGTCCTACTTTGATATATTTGTAAAAAGGGAGTTGTAGCTTTTGTGTCACGCTAATGGACAATGATTTAAGATAAATAAATGTAAACTTGTTTCTCGAACAAAAACATTCTTATTTATTACATAACATTTATCAGTGAATGTGACCTCGTTTCGGTGTTTTAGTGATACTATTATACCCATAGTCTTCAATCTAGCTACACTACATTCTTAGGCATATTTTGAATATATATCAAATCATTTTCTTATAAATATGGTTTTGTATTGTGATTAAGGCCCTCTATAGATGAGATCTGTTTTTTTATTTCTCTTTCGTTTATTGACGCCGAGAACGCTATTTACGAATTTCATGGACATTGATTGGCCTGTTCGATATTCAAATAAAATCCATTGACAGTTCTCTGATGTATTATGCAGCATTAAAATAGTCCTGTTGAAAACCACTTACTGTGTGGCTCAAACTTTGGTATTTTTGGCGGGATAGCAACTATGTGGTTTGGGGCACTGATCTGGACCATTGTATGCAAACAATTGTGGTGTGCATTGTTACTGTGTTTGAATATGCGAATTGATTTCAGATCTTTGTTTCGCTGTTGTATGGTCAAAATAGTTTCGCGCCGTGCCTGACGAGATGCACACTTATTAACAGTATTTTAGGGATTTCGATAAAAGCTGTTAAATATTTGACTACACATAAGAGTGAAGGCATAAGCGACAGTGGGTACGATAATACCAAGAGGGGTAACTCGTACAGTACCTCGATGTCTTAATGCCATAAATTAGTATTGATAATGAAGCGAATTACATTTTCTTACGTGTCACATGATTTTAAAACCTATCGCATTTACATTCTTTTTAAAAATCCAATCTCTCGGCCAGCACGCAACTCGTGTGACGCATTGTTTCTTTTATTTAGTTGTCCAAAAATATAATCTGGATGTGAACGAACAAGCTTTCTATATATTAACGAGGTCTGGAGTCAATAGGTTAACACCATATGACGTCAAACCATTTACCCCACCAACACGTGACGGACATACCAGTTTACGGGCGTCGCTGAGAGACAATTATACTATAAAGAGGTGTCTAATGACCCGTTGAATATGAAACGTTTTATTTCACAGGCTTTGTAGAATGAAGTAATTCAATTTGGCAATAGTGTGCTATGATCTTAATATCCACAATATTTGGTGTTTGATGTTTGTGCTATACTGCGAAGGCATTTACAGACATGTACGACAATGTTGTTATGTTATGTAACAGAAACAAATAGCGTAATAGTAGCACTAGATGTGTATGTTCTTTGCTGAAAAAAAAATGTCACCAACGAAAGCAAATTTATTAGTGACACAAAGTATTTTATTACTTTCAGTTAACACGCGTACATGTAAATGTATTTCATAAAAAACGATACAGAATTCCAGTACAATATCAGAATGTAGAAGCATATACATATGTTAATGAGACAAACACATCTATTGTAAAAAGTGCATTGACACTGCATTGTAAATAATGACCTGGACACAGGTTCCTTATCATAAACTCCCACAAACGAGGATATAATACAAACACACAATGAAAAGTTAATCGTAAAGTTAATACATCAAAATACTGAAACAATAAATTACGTTAATATAAAACACTCCATAAAGCAAAGTCAAGTTCACGTCATAAATTCATCCTATAATTTAATATTGCACATACATATAAAACTGATATTTCTTGTTTATTCTGATTATAACATTATTATTTGAAAACAAATAATTGTCTCACTTCATAAATTGTTCAAGGCAGCCACAATGGGTTTATACTTTATATATTTCTTTTATATTTGAACTAACGTTTGAAATACAAAGCTCTATAAATGTATATTTTACCTGCACGACTGTATTCTATTCTGGAATACACGGAAAGTCACATATGGATAGATTCTAAATGAATATTATATATGGTGACACCTGTATTGATGTGTTGCTGAATTCAAATTCAACAGAATGGAATGTAAGAGAATAGAAAATAAAACACAATACATTGTCTCCAAGAAATCAAGCAGATTCGGATTCTGACATCAGTAAATGTACATGATGTATCTAGTGAGAAAACTACATATAAACTAACAAGATACACAAATGTATGAATAAAAGAGAAACATGATATTTCACGTATGCATTTACAACAAATACACTAACAGGTACTTTCCCATTGGGGTGCGTTTTCATCCTGGCGGATTTCTTTGGTGGCAGCACGAGGCTGTTAAAAGTGGCTTTATAATGATAACAACATGGTTGACATGTCTTCAATCTTGGATTTGTCAAGAATTTCATTTAACGCGCATGGAACACATATTATTTAAAATTCAGCTCACAAGAGTTGATATGAAGAAATTCTTGGTATTGTGGTTACAGTCCGATGTTAACAGCACTGCTTTTAAAAATAGATTTCTTCTGTTTTGTATCCGTTTTCATGACGGTAACTGTAATGAACATGGAAAAAGCACTAAGTATATATAACCTATTTATATAAATTTAAACATAATGTCAACAACCCTTTTGATATATACAAAATTTGATACAAAACTAGATGATGTAAAATACTAAATTTGAGCTGCAATTCATTTTCGCTGAAAGGAGATTTTAGGTGTTTTGTATGGAATTTTTTTTTCACTGATTTTTGACGAGTTGAATGTAAAATATAGAAAAAAAGGTATATTCGCTGGATTTTATTTTCACTGAATCACTCCTTCAGCGAAAATTAATTCTAAGCGAAAATAAAGTAGTTTATAGTACCTCGTATTCAGAACTTGTTTTTTAAATCTTCAAATTCGCACATACGTATACACTTTTATCGATGTATCAGGCATGCTTTGCATGGAAAAACACTGTACAGTGACTTGACATTCAAACATTACGTAATAACTAATTGCCTTACGTGCTTTCTCTGCTTCTTCAGCTAATTTATACATCTCTAGTTCTATAAGCACATCTATTAATGTTTCAGCTGATGCATTATGCTTTACTCTAGATCTCCATCTATGAAACATCTCGTCTTTCTGCTTTTGAAAATCGTTAGCATAATCCTTTTCTATAGCATCAATGTCTGCCTCGATAAAATGCAAAGCTCTAGCTACGGACTTCCAGTCTCTCGAGCGAAGTGCAGGCGAAATTTTGCTTACAACAGATTTCACTAAAAGACAGAAACAGACAGGCAAAGTTCACTAGTAAAGAAAAAAATATAAAAATATGACCATTTGAACAACTATAGTTTAGAGTACTCTAATTCTGAATAGGTGGGAATGCCGAACGCCATGCTAAGTGAATCCAAAAACTATAGTGAATCTAAAGATGACGCAGTTTTTGAATACAACGAAAGTGGGCATGGCGTTTAGTGATTGATTAAGAGCTATTACACGCATACTAACTCCTATTGGATTGTATGTAACTGAACTTACACTTTTGATCTCTTTCTTTTGCCAGCTTTTTCTCTGCATATTTCTGAAACAATTATATAAAGTATGCAATGCAAATTAAATAAGCCCCATATGTCGATTCACATGTCGAAGTTGTAGTAACATTTTTGAATGTTTGAAATATAAATATTGATGTTTGTCGTATTATTCAACAATTTACATTCATTTATCTATACCAAAAGAAAATGAAGGGGGGGGGGGTAACTGCTCATTAGTTGACGACCCCTAACCCCATTGCTGGACAGGACAACTGAAAAGATTTTACCACATGCACAGGGTGACGAGCCCAATTATATGTATTATATGCACAGAGTCTTTAAAATCCATTTTCTAACAGATCTGGAAAATTAAGTCCGCAGACACACAAATTGACGACTAATCATAGAAAAGAAAACAGGAATGCAGAGTCTTGAAAATTGTGCACATTTATTTAATAATTTTGAGTTATAGTGTGTGTTTGTGTAAGTTACATTGAAACCCACCATCTTAATGGTCTCATCTTTCTTTTGGAACACTATAGCTAAATAGGAAAAGTGTTCGACTTCCACTTTGATATTACTGCCTTCCTGCCAATAAAACAACATAACCACGTTTACAATCATTAATATTTTGTTACGTTATTAAAATTTAGGACACCCAGTTCGAACACTTTTTTTATTATTATCTGTTAGTGTGTAAATAATCCAAGAGCAATTCCCATACAGCAACAAACTAAAACACTCTTACCTTCCAGGTTTTAAGTTTAGTCCATGGACCAGTACAATTTTCACTAGTTAGTGCTAGTATGATCACATTACTCCTCTCTAACACAACCTTCGGCAATTTGTAGCATAATGTGAGTGGTTTCAAGAATTTATATCCATCTGGACCAAGTTCTAAACATTCTATAATGTCAGGTTCACGAGGACCAATGCATAATTTCCGAGCATCCATTTGCTTTGCTTGGAATGTTAGGCTGACCACTTCCGGTACAGCATTTCGTGGCACCTCAACCTTGATCTTCTCGGTTACACACTGTAATACAAGACATATAAATAAACGAGCATGCTTTATACAAATACATGTATGCCAATTAATGACTACTTTTGACCCGACCAACGAAGGTCATTTTATTACGTAATTATTATTGCGTAATAATGATATATATAACACATTCGGCATACCACGACATCTTCGTAGGTGTCTATTGTTCTGACTATAACCTCGTTTCCTCTTCCTTTTTCAGAGCCCACTGAAAAAAACAAAACAAAATGATAATGAAATGCAGTTCATTTTCAACAGCCTTGCAACACAAATTTTATCATTTGAATTCCAAATGTAAACCACCTATTTGGATGTCCCCTATCTTCTGTGATAAGATGTTCATGTAATATACTATTTTTGATAATGAGCAATCGACCTTTAAAATACAATATTTAATTATATTTTTTTCTTACCAAGTTGTTCAATGTACTGTGCCATGTTGTTCAAGCCCTCGTCCTTCAAGGCAGCAATCAGAATTGCAATCGTTGCTTTGTTTCCCCGCCTTCCTTTCCACATTTCAAACATCTGATAAATTTGTTCTCTCAGATCACGCGGGTAGTCATGTTCCAAGCTGTTCAGATCGGCATCAGACAAACCTAATCTGATCCCAAGCCGTCGTGAATCCATGCATCTGAGAGACTTTTTCAGTACATCTATCGCTGTTTTCAGCACCGAATCTGCGGCATAAAAGTATAAATTGCTATAAACGTTTTTAGAAAATGTTTGCAAAAAATGTTTACTCCTCATAATGTATGTTTTCTAGTCTTAGCGTGGTTTGGGTTAGGAACTTCATCATGCTGTGTTTCCATACATAGGTGAATATGTTTGATAATACATAGAAATTGCAGAATGTGTTTATTGTTACAAAAGGAAAATCATCAAGTCTATTCCGAAATGTTCTCAAACTTTTCAGTTAGCCGTACCAATACTAACAAATCAGCTTACACAAGTATAGACAGTATGAAGTTACCAATGGTGGACATATGATCACCTTGTTTGTAACAACTAATATTCACAATGTCACGATAAACCATTCTCTCCACTCCCACAAATATGAAACTCCCCCATCTTTAATACACTGGTCTTGTAAATCAAATGTACATCTTGGGTGGACATTTACGTTTATATGCTACATATGAATTGGTACCCACAGAAGGAAAATAGAAGAGTGCAAATGTCCTGTATTCGGTCATGGAGCTTTCAGCCGTCGTTCTTTTCACTTCACTGACACTTTACTAGTACGACCATTCAAAAACAGAGTGCCATACAATAGGTGTTTTCAACTTGTCGAGACGTAGAAAAGAAAAATCGATATTGATTACGGGACGAGAACAAACACACTACAATACAATAACAATCGTACCGAACCTTACAGAGCATAGGGTGTCTAGACGACATTTTTTAATGTTAGCGTTGAGGGTAATTTTGTTCATTATATCATGATTATTCTCAGACGAGCATTGTATTAAATATAAATCTGATATTTTTTAGAAATTGCCAATATTGAACACAATTAGTTATACAATTCCTGTAATATATGTTTATAATATCTACCTTAAATATGCAAATTGTAGATCCTAATGATACTGCAAGGTTGTGTGAACCAAGCTATGGTAACACATATACGAACTATTCTGAGATATCTCATGTGAACCAATAAATGCTTATAAAATGTTACAAAGATGCATTACAAGAGAACGTAGATCTTTAAATGGTCTCTATGAGAGGTATGGGGATTAATGGCCGGATTCTCCACCATATGCTACGAAAGGAACGTAGAGTGTAGAACTTCCACACACTTGGCAGATAGCTCTTACACTGTAAAGATACTAGGTCTCAACCAAAGGAATACACATTAGTTCATTACGGATAGTCCGAGTTATTCCTCAAACAACCAGCTGCGTTAACGCATTGCTGTTCACTTCTCTTACAGACTCGTCAATACCCAATGACAATCTAAGGCGCGGATGAGCAAACATGTGACAGCCAATGGCTGCAGCCGACGGCACCCTGACGATCACGTGATTAGAAGGGGTGTGCCTCAAGAACTAAATTACGAAGTTGACAATACTGAACATAATTAGCAAACAATACATTTATAGCACTCCTGTGATATTTGTTTCTAACAAATAATAAATAAATAAATAACAATATCGTGATGTCACTATGGCAACAGTTTACTACACAGTAAATCAATACACGGTAATACGTGTATTGAATGAGTTATAATGATAATTTATACAATACCTGAGTGTGGATAAGAGTGCCAATGTTTTGATTTCAAGTATCTCGGAAACTTAAGAACTCTGTTCACTCTGTTTCACCTCAGACAATTAATAAACATACTGGCACGGCAGGTATTTCTTTTGATCTAACTTGTGTCTCGTGTTTACTTTTGCGATAACGTTTAAAGCTGTTAAGCAACTGGGGGAGATAGGAAATTGCCCACGAAGTCACACGAAAACGCACAACCCCGCGAGTTACTATGGTGTTTCAACAGGAAGTGACACAAAAGGTCAGACCGAAGTTTAATATTTTCCTTACGTTAGTGATTCTCGTGGGCCTATAGATATTCATAAAACAGGTCCGGGTAAAAATAAAACAGAGTATAAAATTGTTAGTTGTCTGAAGTTTCACGCAGTAACACATATGCGTCGAACAAAAACAGCAAAAAACACACTTCATTCACTAACGAATGCGACTTTGGGGGAACCTTGGTTAAGGTCCGCAGGTGTTTGTGTTCGACCGGGCCTGGTTGACGCCAGGATAGCGCATTACAAATTGCCATTTGACAGAGAGATGGCCACACAGCCCGGTCATGTAGTCCCAAATATGAATACGACTTCTGTGGCAAAATGCACTATGTGTCGTCACTAGCACTTGCAATTTGCACATACAAAAAAAAAAAGCCAGGAGAGACAACAGTGACACTTAATGTCCAGAACTGTCGCCTGGCACAAAACATATTAAAAAAAACACAAAAAACACTTGAAAATGTAAATTATTGGATAAACAGACAATGCACAAAATAACAGACATACTAGTTCTACTGCTATTGGGAAGGCCGATTATTACCTTTCTGGCGTTTTTACAATTCCCTTTAGCAAACCAAAGCGCATTTCGTATTATAGAACACCACATGTGACAACCAAGATGTCACGTGTTTGCCATCGCATATAACAGACGTGCTGCATTCGTGGGTACTCGAAACTAAAAATGGCGGAGGTGCGTTTATTTAGCGGTGACCAGCCTGCATTGGAATTCTTGCACGACGAGACTTAATCGTGCGTCCTTCCCGGATAACATTGACCACAAATTGACGATATCTAGGCATCCCAACAACATCCCCCTGTTAATCCCAAACATTTCGGCGATTTTCAGATTTAAAAAAAACTTGGGTGAAAGGATTTTCACATTTTATTTCTTTTTTATTACGACAGGTGTCTCTTGATCAAAATTGTCACAAAAATCAGTGTACTTACCATGATTTCTGGTAGTTTTCTGCACTGTGTCATTTGTAGCCATCACATAAACAACTAAAAGTAAGAATAGTGCGAGGGTCTTTAAATAATATGTCGTTTGCATTATAAAAGTACTATATAGTTATGTGACTAATGATCGACAGATAAATTGAATGCTAGCAACACTCGAAACCAAAAACCCGCCGGTCTCACTGTAACAATTCAACAACATAGACACAAGCGGCGTTCATGCTAAAATAAGTTTACTGCCAGTGACACAAAACAGTGGTCATCACCGATGTCAATGTCAAAGTTTGTGGACATGGATTCATATGAGCTATCTTGATTTAACGCTTCAGACTACTAAGGCCAGAAACTTACCTCGGATACCCTACTGCGCCACTCCAACAATACAGTCTCGAACACTAATACAACTATCACGAAGATGACGAATCGGCGTTTATTTGTAGATATTCCGCTATTTTACTGTAACCGTCCCGTTTAATGAAGTTCGGCACGGTAATTTGCCGCAGTAAAACAGCGCATCAAAAAAGCCGATGGGCTAAAACAGGTACCTAACCCCCACTGAACTAAGTAAGTCTACTGTTGTCGTTGGCACTCGCCCAATTTTAACAGCGCACTTATCTACCATATCTTAGAGGGCGTCATGCCAAAACACAAATGGCACATCAGCCAAAACCTATTGAAGACATGTTCGAGCAAAGCAGTTGATGATGATGTAAAAATAACATTATCCCCAAAATAGAAGCACTTCCATCATCCACGTCTTTCAATCGTAAAAGAACTTGTTAGTCGATTACGTATATATAGAAATCTGCAAATCATTCCTAAACTATATCCATCATATACTAGTACCTCGGTGTTTTCAAAACTAACATTTCCAAAGTCGGCAAACTTGCGTTAAATGTCGGAAGGCAGTGCGGATGAGAAATACACTATAAAGAATAAATATAAGTATTACTATAAATATATGGTAATAATTCAAGCCTAAAATCTCTCCAGGAACATTCACAAAATGAAAGAGTACATGTTTCGTTAGATGGTGGATATCCTTGACAAAAATACGTTTGATAAAAATCACGCAAAACCAGCTTGAATGCCACTACACTAAACAGAGTAGCTGCGAATACCGCCAACTGGCATTTGACTTCCACAGCATTACTGAGATCGTTGAGTCACATGGGTACGAACTTGTTTGTGCCCCCCAAAAACATTTTGACGGGCGTATTCCTACTCGTTTTGTCCTGAACTACGAATATCACCCCATAACTCCTGGACCAGCTGATCTACATTTGGGGATATCCCACATTCTCATAAATTTAGACGAAATCTATAGAAGTATCAACCATTCATTTAGACGAATATAGCCGGGGCTCATCGGTTAAGCAACGTAATACAAAACACAAACATAGCTCAGTTAATTTAATGTCAGTGGCTGGCCTTTAACGTTATTAAGTAAAGATAAACACTCACTAATTTAGGTGACTTTTGTATGTCTTTGAAGGTCAGTTACATTGTAAGTATGTTTGACTAAGATAATACAGAACTCTTAAAATAAAATTGGCAATAAACAGTGGACAGAATATCTACTTTCAATATATCATATAATTTTTAAAGCTAAAACAACACAATTTAAACAATTTTTTTGTTTTTAAGCTTGTTCTTGTTTCATCTATTTACATAGTTAGAATGCGATTTTAAATACATTATTAAGGTTAAACAAATCTGATTTAGCTCAAAGTCAACTACAACTTGTTTCTGTGCACCCTTCAGTATAATCTAACTCTTACCTACATAACCTTATATGAACTATTTCCCCAGGGATAATAAAGAACAAGTATTATTGTATGAAGTAAGCAACTGACAGGACATTACGTTGGCGATCCAATTACAGCTAGTACAATACCCCGATACTTAACACCATAAATCACCAGTTATAATGAGGCTCACAGCATTTTCTAACATGATATTTAGCAAGAATGTGACCGCCCGGAAAAGTCCTAATGCCACCGATTCACAGCCCGATTTTAAACTCGGGAATTTACGTAGACAATAGCCGACCAGAACACAAAGCGCGAGACAAGAACTATATTGATTCATTTCAGTTATGTCATTGATATAAATAGTTTGACAGTTCAGAGGTTAACATCGCATGACGTCAAACCGTACTAGTACATAACAGTTTACAAGCGTAA